ATCTTTTAATAAAGAAATTTAAATCATATTTATGTAAATTTAAAGTCTTTAAATTTCTAAAATTTTACTGCAATTCATGAACACTAATTTGATATTAAATTTATGAAAAAAAATGATAAAATTATTCTTAATTTAAATTAATATTAAAACGTCACTACTTCACTTATTTATTGTATTACTTCACTTATTAATTTACTTACTAAATGTTATTAAATGTCCAAGTTAACTTATTTTTATTTTAAGTGTTTAAATTATTGTAAGATAACTTATTGATTCTTATACTGTATATTCATTTACTTAAGGATTATTATTCATTGTGCTATTTCATTTATCATTATCAGACTTTCGCTTAATTTTATTTTAGAAAAAAGAATAAATAAATTAAAAAAATTAATAATATTTCATAAGTAAATAAATAAGTGAAATGTGGTAATGAATAAATGAAATAAGAGAATTTCAATATTAGGACCAATTATATATATATATATATATATTAAATTTAATATTAAATTAATACTTCTGAACGGTGATGAAATTTAAAAAATTTGTGAACTTTAAATTTAAATGAATACAATTCGTTTATTGAAATTCTACCTTTCGAAAATCCGTTGTCTGGGTCAATTGTCAAAATTGAAAAGCAAAACCCTTGACTATGTCCGAACCAAATTGCGACCATATGATTCCCCATTCCACACGCTAACTAGACAAGAACAGAAATTAAACAACTATCGCCCAAAGTCAGTGTCCACCCTTACCCGTGTAATGGAATTAAAATGAGAAAAAAAAATGTAAATATAAATATAATTGAAAGTAAAACAAACCCAATCAACAGGCAGCCTCCAAGAGATCAGAGCTCCTCAAGCTCTTGTTGGACCTCAATTTGCTGTTGTCTCTCTTCCTCTGGTTTTGATAATCTCTGATAAAAAAAGCTTGAGGAGAGACAAACCCTTCGACCTTGCTGCCTGATTTCCATGGAGGTCTACGACAGATCTAGGCCTTACGGAAATGGGCAAACGATGCAGATAGAGAGCTACTATGGACCACCTGGACCTTATGCTATAAGGAGCTACAGCACTTCTTATGCACAAACGCAGATGGGTTCTATTCATAGGGACTTGAAGTTGAAGAAGGGCAAGAGCATTTCTGGGTCTTCTTTTTCCAAGTCCTGGAGCTTCAAGGACCCTGAGCTTCAGAGGAAGAAAAGGGTTGCTAGCTACAAGATGTACTCTGTTGAAGGGAAGGTCAAAGGTTCACTGAGGAAGAGCTTCAGGTGGCTTAAGGATAGGTACTCGCGGGTGATCTATGGCTGGTGGTGAGTTGCTGGGTTCAATTCTCTGAATTTTCGTCTGTATCTGAATTCATGTTCACAAGTTTGAATTTTGTGCCGGTGAGGAGAATTCTAGACTTAAGGGTTATGATCAGTTTTATTTTCTGTAAGTTGGAATGCTACTTTGTCGGGTCCTGATCCTTCTCAAGGGTGATCGAATTATAGATATTTCCTTCTTTCTTCAACGCTTATCAAGCTTTGTTTATGTACTAATTAATTAATAATGCAAAGAAAAAAGCTTTAGTCGTGAAGAGATTTTTATGTTTTATTTCCATGCCGTTTCGCCTCTTTCTTTCTGCTTCATGTTTGTAAGAGGTGAGACAGCACTTGACAAGCTATATGAGAGTTCTTTGCTTTCGTGATTCTGGTTGTTCAAGGTAATTCAATTAATTGATGATATTCCATGTTTCACAAGTTTTAAACTAGAAGCAAATATGCATGCCCTTTGCATTGATGGCACCAGAGCACCTCCATGGATGTTACTATTGCCTCGTGATTGTTGGCGATATGGATCTTTAACATTAGCCATGCATATCCTGTGTGTCCAGAAATCTCCATAGGGTGTTTTGACTTTTGAGGTAGTTTCAGTCTTGATAGACATAATCTGTCTTCTTGCCATAGACTTCTTGGGCATAAATTTCTGATAAACTTGTGAACCTAAGCTGAACAGAGGTCATCTCTTGGGATCTTATTGAAGAGTGACGCATGACTTATTTGGTTTCAATGAAGGCGTTTATGGTGTTCTTTGAGTGATCACAAAACTCTCACCAAACAATAAGCTCAAGCTAAACCAACACCACCATTGATTACAGAACTAGCTGTGCCACTGCTAGGGCTTCCTTCGCACTTGCTCTATGTTGACAGCTATATCTGTGTAGTGTGAATTATTTTTTGTGGAATTCCAGATCAATTTTTCACAAAGTGAGGACATGCAATGATTCTTCGGCTCCAGACTGTCCTGTTATCTGTATAAGCATTTTGCCGTTGCCCTCGCTTTGTTGCAGAAAGAGTGCAACGCCTAATAATTATTGAAATAACTCACGCGCCAGCTCATACGGACGGACCACAAGCCAATATGCTCAACACTGCTTTTCATCGTATTTTGCCTCTTCTTCTTCGTCTTGATGCTTCAATTAATAGCTGTCAGTAATGAATGGAATGCTTCACTTACGTTTCAAGCATTTATCAGAGTTTCTTCCGTCTTGGAGGCAAATGTAACGCCACCCAAAAAATTTTGCTGTAAAGCTTGGGGGCTTGGCTTATTATAGATATACTCCGTCCATCCTCATATATAACGTATTTTTAAAAAATTTATTTTATTTTAAAATATAAGAGGTGACAATGATATTTTTAAATAATTAAATAATTTTACCCTTATTTTAAAAAATAAAATAAATAAATAATTATATATTTTTTTAACCACCGTCATGATATTAATTATAATATTATTAGGGGTAAAATTAAAAAATTATTATATTTTTATGTGAGTTTAACTAAATAACAAATATTTATTGGTGTGCAAAATTCAATTAAAAATATTTTATATATAAGAATGAAAGGAGCAGTATGCATATTTTGTTTGATTAGTGAGGTTGCACTTAGAGCAACATTTCTCTCAATAACAATGTCATAACATAATGCGGAAACCGGGGCACCAAGGGAGGGGGGCCAATTTTACAGTATGCATTGACTCAAGGCCTATTTAGCTTATCTTCCAAAAGTACATTCAAATTATATTTAAAATATATTTTTATCAAATTTAATAAATAGTTAGATTTCCTAAATTACTTTTAATAGATGTAAACTGAAATTCAAGAGAGCATTAAGTTATTTGATTTTTTATTAATAACAACAATAACAATAAGCTTTTATCCCATTAAGTGAGGTTGGCTACATAGAATGTAAGACGTCATTGTGCTATATCATTTACCAAATTTTTAAAAATATTATTAATTGAGAAATCACGTTTAACAATTTTCAAAAGTATTTTTTTAGGCCTTCCTCTACCCCTCTTAACAAGGCTTAAAGTCATAATCTTCTCACTGGTGCCTCTCGTAGTCTTTTTTTTACATGTTCAAATCATCTCAAACGATTTTCTACCATTTTTTTCTTCAATAGGTGCTACCCTCACTTTTTCGCTTACGTGCTTATTTTAAATTTTATCTTTACGTGTATGTCTGCACATCCATCATAAATTTATAAGATAACAGATTATTTATATAAAATTTAAAAAATATCATCTATGTAAATATCAATATATTAACTTTGAAATTTTTCAATAATATTTTCCAAAAATTCAAGAAAAAAGCTTTGCAAAGAATATATAAAATTTTACGCTTTTATGATTTAAAAAATGATTATGATAAAAATTAAATGAAATTAATAAATTATTTAGATTTTCATCTACCATTGTCTATAGAGATACTTTTTTTGTGCTATTTATAAGTCATTTTAAACAAGTTTTATCATAATCAAAGAAAATCTTAAAACTCATTAATTTTGTCTAAAAATTTAATAACTTTTTAATTTTACTCCTATTAAATATACATTCTTTAATATTATACTCTCTCTATTATTTAATGAAAAGTAAAAGAGAAAATTTATGATAAAAATTTAATGATATGATTTGTAAATAGAGCTAAAAAAAATTTTGTTCTCCACTCAATAAATAGAACCATAAGGAATAATAAGAGATAAATGAAAGTAACTAATGTTGAAGAAGAAGAGATTTGTTTTTATTAAGTGAAAAGAGAACGCAAGCATGTAGGGATTAGCGAGGGACTTGGTTTTTTGCTCATCACTAGGACGAGCATTGATGCTTATTCTATAATGAGGTCTGGATCATTTAAATTTTTAAATTTAAAGTATCATTATATATTTTTATTTTATATTTATTAAAATAAAAATTATAAAATAATTTTAACAATTTTTTTATTTTTATCTAATTTAGATTTAATTTGGAGGATCTAATTTAATATTAAATTTTTTATAATTGATATATATTAACTATCTATATGTACTCTGTGTAGTTCATAGTAAAAAATTTGAACTATACAGATTAGATTTAATTTGAACTATACATAGTATATTTAAATAATCAATGTATATTAATTATAAAAATTTTAATATTAAATTAGATCTTTTAAATTAAATTTAAATTATATTAAAAATTAAAAATTTATTTAAAATATTTTACAATTTTTGTAAAAAATTTTAATAAATATATTATATAATAATACTTTACATTTGGATTAGATCTCATCACAGGAACGAGAACGATGAGCAAGAAACCAGTCCCCTTCGAGGGAGTAAGGAATGCACAATGGAGAGATTAATGGTAATAGCGAAAAACTAAAAAATTGAGGGGCCCAAGAAGTAAATTTCTCCTTTTGAAAGCCACCTCATTAACATGGAAAAGAAATTTTTTTTTTAAAAAAATAACTCGTTACTCGCCAGCTTTCTTTCTCGGTCTCGTGATTAATTAGAATATTAGATGGTAGATACTCTTTCTTTTCAAGACTCCAATTTAAAAATAAAATATCTTTCAATATGCTAATATGAAGTTAGTCATCTGTTATAACTTATACGACACTAAATAAAGCAGGTAAAGAAACACTAAATAAAAATTACCGGGTAGATTAAACACAATAATATACCCCAGTCAAAAGGCAATTGTGGCTGCGAGTTAATTTGTGCGAAATCTTTCGTCTTTGTTGTTGGACTCGCGCTTGGACCGGAGCGGCGGGGAGAGGATGTGGGAATCAATTTTTCTAACGGTGATTGCGACCGCCGGCAACAACATCGGTAAGATCCTTCAGAAGAAAGGCACCATCATTCTTCCTCCGCTCTCTTTCAAGCTCAAGGCATGTCTTCCTTCATGTCCTTATTTCTTCTTTCGTTTTGTTTTCCTGTCGGGTGTTCTACTGTGTCATTACCATTATGATTTGGTTCCATTTCAATATTGTGTTTTTTTCCCCCAACAAGAAATAATGCGAAGGAAATAGTTACTGTGAAATTTAGATTTTTGTTAGCTAAATCTAGTCGCGGTCAATTCGCCTTTATTTGGAGCTTACACTTGCGAGGTTGGATGTATTTTTAATAATGGAATAGGATATGCATGTATTTTTGCATCATAGTAGATGCATGCGATTGTGTCTGCAATGCTTCATTGAAGCGAACTTGAGCGAGAATCTGGATTATTTTTTTCAATTCCGATATCCCACTTTCAATTCAAGCATTACATAGCTAAGAAGTGATCGTTCGGCTGCCGGTCAATATTGCTATTAACTCTTCGACGATTGTGTTTACAGGTCATAAGGGCGTATGCTTCAAACAAAACATGGGTGATAGGTTTCCTCATGGATATATTTGGGGCGATCTTGATGTTAAGGGCATTGTCTCTGGCTCCTGTAAGTGCTTTAGTTCATATCCTAAAGGAAAAAATGGTGGGAAAAGATTATAGCTTTTTACCCCGCTCCTTAGATGTATGTTCCTGTGACTTCTGTTTCAATTCTTTTACAATTATGGTAGAGATTTTAAGACGAATGTCACTGACTATAATTATAAGGCTGGGTCTGTATATGCAATAAAAGAGTTGAATTGAAACTTTCACCTTGGTATTATGCTTTAAAGTGGTATAGTGCTATAATATGATGCATTAAAGGGCTGTTTAGCATAATAGTATCTTACACTCATTTTACTTTTATATAGATAGTCTTTGAGGTTCTTATGATTTTTGTTGATATGAGATGACAAAAACTGGTGGGCAGTATATGCCTACAGGCATCTTAGTTACTACTTACTAGTGTACCAAGCACGTCTTGGATGGATTTTGATCTCCAAGATGTTACAAAAATTATAAACGTAACAACTCCTTTAAAGGATTCCTTGTAACATGCTTTTCCTGCACTTTTCTAGATTTTAGACCTTGGTAATTTTGTTGGTTTTCCTCCTCATATAGGTCTCTGTAATCCAACCAGTTTCTGGCTGTGGACTTGCAATTCTTTCAATCTTTTCTCATTTTTATCTCAAGGAAGTCATGAATGTTATTGACTGGATGGGCATTACCTTGGCGGGTTTTGGCACAATAGGTAATGCAAGTTTTTTTATGCCCAAGAGCGTTAAGTTATCCACTTCTGATTCCTGGGGAAAAACAATGGACAGGATTCTGGGGTAATAAGTAAAATAATCTGAGTTCTAGACTTATTGGTGTTTACATGTGTGTTAATAATTAATGGGAGAAAATTTTGAGTAGTTGACCATATTATGATAAGAGCTTTGAATTATCTAACTGTTCATAACTACTTATCAGACAGAATTTGGGTCAATGTGTGACAAAGTTACTTTAATTGTTTAATTTGCCTATATACTTACAGAGATATTCTTGTTTGTGTGAGAATGGAATGGGTTGATATGTCCTGGATTTTTCTTCGATTCCATTATCTGATTGTTATTCCAAAAGAAACTCAATAGGTGTGTGCTCAAATATTACACAATGATGGTATGTAGTTTGTTTATAACATTCAGGCTATGATTTATGTATTACCCATTTGATCACTAATATGTGCTTTCAGTGGTGGATGAGTGCTCGAATATTATTGAATGACCATTATTTAGTCTGTTGCTGCATTCAATCTGGAAAAGTTTCATGGTATCAGTCTATGATTTATGTATTAATCTGACTCTATCCAATATGTGCTTTCATCAGTGAATGACTACTCAGACATTATAAATGAGTAATATGTAGTCTTTCACTACATTTAATTTATCAAACTGTCATGGTATCAGTCTATAGTTTATATATTAGTGCAACCTTATCCTTCTCTAACTATTATGCGGTTTCCTTTGTTTAGGAGTTGGTGCTGGAGGTGAGGAGCAAGAGGCTGCTGCCTTATCTGTTTTTCATATACCTGTGCTGGCATTCGTAGTTTTCATCTTGTTTGTAGGTACCCTGTTCTCGCACCAACTTATTTTACTTTATATCAGAGATGTTGAGTATGTGTACTTAAGTTTTCCATGTATTATTTGTAACTTAATTTTGCGATAACAAGCATGTGAGACAATAGGCATTATTAAAGAAACAATGGTCAATCATTCTCAACTGAGTTTCTCTCCCAAAAAGAAGGAAAAAAAAATATTTACTGAGTCTATAATGGCTGATGCTCGAAAGTGCATTGTTATGCTTAATGGGATCACTGACAAATGATCAGTGCATGAAGTAATATCTATTTATAATTATAATATGTGACTTGGATTGGCAAAAACCTCATTTTGAAATTTGAAGTGTTGATACATTTTTCCTATGCTTGAATCCATGTATAAGATATATTCAAAACTTAAAAATTTGGAAATTCATGGATCCATTAATTTCCAATTTTCTCTTGAAGCCGATAGTAAAATATTTCTTGTGTGTTTTGGAATGCATCAAGTACATTAAGCAGCATTGTTCCTTCCTTCTCATTAACCTGGTAGAATGATTACGATATTCGTTATGATGCTTTTGTTGTAGTAAATTTTATAGACTTGATTGGCGTTTATTTAAAAATACAATGAACTCTTGATCTGCTCATACAGGTTCTTCTCAATGGATGGGTTCTTATGTGCAAACGTCATAGGAGAGAACAGGAGATGGTATTTATGTTTTACTCATGTTGGCACGTTTTCAAATTTACATGTTCATTTTCATTTATGAGACCCTCTTTTCATTGTTTTATTGAAGTATCTGTCTTCTATTGGTCTCGCTTAACACTTTCAAATGATACAGATGGAATATGATGTTGTTGAGGAAGTCATTTATGGCTTGGAATCTGGAATTTTGTTTGGGTACTCCATGCTTCCCTTAAATACCATCTAGCATGTCTGTGTTTTCTATTCTTGTCTGAATGTGCTCTTCATATATCTTTAGTTCCAACTTTTAGCATGAGGATGAAATTATGTAAAAAATCACATATAAGTGGTGTTATCTTTGTCAATATTAATTGTGTTACCTTTGTAAAAAATCCTATAACCTAGATCATGGAGTTGGAAAGCCCAAGGTGTTGATAGACCCAGCATCAAGGTCCCATACTTTTGTTGTGAGATACATGGCATTGGGCCCTAACATTTCTCTGCACTTTGCATCCCTGCTCATATAGGCTGCACTTGTGCCCACTTTCAAGCCTTGGGTTGCCACACAATATTGGCAGCACCACCTATGCTATTAAATTGGAAGGCTTTGATATCAAATGATGAAAACCTCTGGCAGAACTATACCTCAAAAGCTAACTCATGAAATTGAAGAGCATGGTCCCTTTAAACTTCACACTAGAAGTTCATACTTCTGACGTGAAACTCAAGTCTCAAGCCTTGCAGTTAGGTCATAACATAATTCATGATATTCTTTTATTGTCTATGACTAGAATCATTTGAACTTGAATATGTAATACTCTCTCTCTCTCTCTCTCTCTCTCAGTGTTGTGTGGGTGACATCATATGGCTTCTTTTAACAGTGTTAATATGTCACTGCAGGATAGCATCTGTAATGTCAAAGATGGGGTTTTTATTTCTGGAGCAGGGTTTTCACAAACTGTTAGTCCCTGTTTGCATCTTGATCAGTGTTTGTTGTAGTGGTACTGGATTTTTTTACCAGGTATTAAGACTTATCTATAGTTCATGGGTGAAAAACCCTAGACTGGTTAGTGAAGTTGGTCAGACTGGCACTTAAGCAACTAGTTTGGTTGAGACCCCCCAAACTATCATCGTACAAATTATTACATTAAGGGAAATAACATAAGCTTAGCACTCGGGCATAGAGCATTACAAAAGAGAAAGTGGCCCAGCCACTATGCCAATTTGTGTTCCTCTTATAAGAGGTGCCACTATATATGCTTATTGTACAATCTTCTTTATATATTGATTCAGTGATTTCTAAAATGAAATATTATTTTGCTCATAATTTGTTGATATAACTAGAATTTCACCCCATGCATTCCACAGGAAGTTAATATTCCAAGGAGTTCACATTTTAGAAATCATATCAGGGTGATTTATTTGTTAAATTGTAAATTAGTTTTTATATAATTATGAAATCATTTAGTTCACGTGACAATTTAACAAGCTGAATCGATCTTTCTATCGTCTGTCAATGTTTTCAAGTATATGTCTGGCCTGGTTTTTGGAAAATTTATGCACTATCATGCCTTTTAAGCTAGGGGTGCATCTGATCCAGGAAAAAAAGCAAGGGAAGGTTTTTTTTTTTTTTTTTTGGGGGGGGGTGTTAAGGATGATGGTGGGGGAGTTTCAGGGGAACGGGCTGTAAATTTGTCCAGGTCTTCTGCTGCTTCCAATTGCCTGCGTGATAAGTTCTATAATATTTATCTTCTCCATTATGCAGACAAGCGGTCTAAAGCATGGGCGCGCTATTATAGTTTCTACATGCGCTGCTGTAGCATCTATTTTGACTGGTGTAGTTGCTGGGATGCTTGCTCTGGGTGAGCGACTCCCTTCTGCTCCCAAAGCTCGCCTTTTGCTTCTGCTTGGATGGTAATATAGGATGGTCGGCTATTATTTTGTGCCTCTGCTACTTTCTTTTCTTTTTAATTTCAGTTGTTCTTTTTATTACATGTAATAAATGGAAATTGTTTGCGTCATAGGACATAGAAAGAACCCCACCACAAGAAGCTTGAAAATAAATGTGAACTAATGGGTTTCATCTTGTTTTTATCTGATCCATTGTGAGAAGTTTAATACTCATACATTCCTTGCTTTCAATAGTTCCCAATGTAAAGCAGTGCCATTCTATTGCAAGATAGAACTTCAGGAGATACAAGGCATACAATATTTAATCTTCATACATTCCTTGCTGTCAGAGGTTCCCAATGTAAAGAAGTGCCCTTCTATCACAAGATAGAGCTACGGAAGATATATGTTGCATAGTTGTATGTGACAAATAGTTATTGTCTTCCATGTTTTCATCTAACTTGATTTTACTAAAGTCAATCTTTTGGGATTGAATTAACAAGAAAGTATAAGATTTATCATACTCAGTGCAAAAGCTTGATTTTAATTAGGGTTTCTTTCTTTCTTTTTGGTGGGGCGCGCCCTGATATTGAGCTCATGGCAATTGCTTTGATATCATGTTGAGGGTTGTTTCCCTCAAATTCAAGAAGGATCCTGAATAATTTTATCATTAAGATCTCTAAATATTCTTTACCTTGTTTTGCTCAGCATTCCAGCAAGATAACATGAGTCCAAGAGATCATTAATTCTGTTTGATTGGATTGCATGTTGTACTTGTTTTTCAGATGAGACGGAAATCTTCGGGGTCATGTCAGAGTTTAATTTATCCACAATATTTTGCTGCAGGTTGCTCATTATTGTGGGGGTGATTTTGCTTGTTGGTTCCAGACGGCTAATCAGACTCCTTCCGTCACGTTCGAGACGCTTTATGAGAAGTGGTGCTGATAAGAGTTATAGTACTGGCCCTAGAAGATCTGGGAGTTCCTCTATTAGGGAACCAAGCCCGAGTGCTGTGATTCAAGCAGCAACGTTAAATCATTTACTGTCATCATCTTCCAAAGAAAAAGCTTGATCTGACATGCACCAGAAAGTCATCCTTATCTCATCCACAATGATTAAGATGTAATCTGACCTTCCCGTTATGATTAGGGTGTATATGTACAGTATGATGCTGCTTCATCAGGGGGTATGAATATTTTGGAATCATTCCTTCTGATATATTATGGACACATTGTTTGCTTAATTTGCTCTGCGCCCCCCTTGTATAAACAATGTCTAAGCTACCTTTCATTTTTCAATATTGTATGATTGTATATGACAGGATGTACCACGGATGAAATTTGGCTTACATGGAAGCCACCTACAATTCAAAGCGCTTGTTTTTTCAGGTAACACGTGGCATACAATAACAAGCACTTCATTTCTATGCACTAATGCGGCCACGATATTCTCTCCAGACAGGAGTGGTAATGGGGAGTATTTCCTTCTCTATGGGCTGGAAGAATTGACGTTAAGAGATGGGCTGGGAAATTGTCTAGCGAGGGTGATGGGACTCCAATCTTGATTTCCTCAGTGTAAAGCGTCGGTTACTAATGCTTTTGGTTGTAGTTGTTGGCACTTGGCACCAAACACCTTAAGATCATAAGTCGTGGAATATCTGGGATGAACCCAAAAAAAAAAAAAGGCCCTTTTCTCTCTCTTGGTTCTCGTGCCTCATTGTTTTAGATTCTCATCTACGACCAAGGTCACTGGAAATTACCTTCGGACAGGCCTAACGATGAGTCGCCTCTAGATTCTAAGAAAAAGAAATTGGAAAATAAATCTGAAACCCCTACAGAGGATGTTCTCATGGACACCACCATGACTGAAGCTGGGGAGACTACCACTAAATCAACCTCTTAAAAACAAGAAGAATCCAACAAGAACGAAGCCAAGTGTAAGTCAGAGTCACCTTTGATCTCCTATCGAGATTCCCTGCTTGGATACAATAGGGTAGCAAATTGGGGGGGGGGGGGGTTGGAGAGAGTTCAAGATGAAGATTTAATTTTTGACGATAAGGAAATCTCGTAATCTCTTCTTGAACCTTCTAAAGAGATTTAGCAGCTGAAGTATCTCTGCCCCGAGGTACCCATCGCCTAGGAGAATTTAATGACTGGAACAAACCATGGAATAGAGCTCTTATCATCATTGTGCTTCGGCGAAGGTTCAATGTCTATGAACTTAAAATTTACCTCAGTCCTATTTGAGGATTCCAAAGCTTTGAGATCATCGACCTACCGAACAACTATTTCGTGGTTAGATTTAAGGATATAGAGCAAGAACTTGTTCACTAGAGGAAGGTCCTATATGAAGGCCACTAGGTGGTTAAGCAACACTGAGTCTTGGTCCAATGCTGGAGCCCTTACTTTGATCCCTTCAGCAATACTCTTGGTCACATTGCCACCTGGGTTAGAATCCCTAACATTCCCATGCACTGCTGCAACATATACTTCATCTCTAGGTTGGGTGAGTGGATTGGAAAACCCCTTAAGATGGACTTGAAAACCCTTGCTGACTTCACTTTTAAGGATGCTTAAATTGAGAGAGGGAACTTCCCCAGGTTGTGCGTTGAACTTAATCTTTAAAAGAAACTAGTACCGAGAGTCATTGCTGCCAACTCTATCTTCAATGTCTCCTATGAAAGCCTGAATCTAATATGCTTCACATGTGGACGTTATGGGCACATAAGAGAAAATTGCCCTTGGATATACAAAACTAACGAGCACCAAGCAAATCCTTTCTCAAGCTTGCCAAAGAAAACTTTGATGAAGAAAACCTTAGACACCGAATAGATTTGTGGCACATGGATGCTTCAAAACAACTATGGCAAGACCTCATGATTTTAAATATGATTAGACTATAATCCTTTTGCACAGCTTTGCAGTGGCCTCGTATTCAAAAAAAAAAAACAACTATGGCAAGCCTCAATACATGAGAAGGGAAAGATTGACAGGAAAAAAAAAACCAGGCACACGAGAAACAAGGGGTGGCTCACTCTATCATCTTGATATCAAACTGTAGACAATTTAGAGAAAGAGGTTGAACTGCCAAAAAATCAGCAAGAGGGCAAAAAGTTGTCTGACAACATTGAGATGGAGCACGAGAACGATCTCATCGTAATAAAAGATAAGGGAAAAGTCCCCTAAAAAGCTCAGCCCTCGAATAGTGGGGTGAGGAAAAAGCACCAAGAATAGTTAAAGCAAATTTATAGACCCATAGGTAAAGAGAATATTAAACCAGCTGGACCATCTAAACCTAGCCAATCTCACAATATTGGGGCGAACAAGAAAGAAATGGGTGCTAAGCCTAATAATTCAGCACAAGAAGGAAAAGGCCAACATAAGAAAATGGCCTAGAGAACTCACCAAATTGTGAGTGGGAAGCTCAACCGTATGGAGCAATCCAAGATTAGCCCAAATACTGTGGATCCAAAAAACATTAACAGCTCCTCATCAACTTTGATGAATTTAGATCACAACTCTCCTTACTCTCCCGAAATAGCGACAGAAGGCTCATTTGTCTTACACCTCTTTAAACCCCCAGATATCACGCCTTCCTCAGAGATGCAAATCGAACCAGTCTCCAACAAAAGTCAACAGGTTACAGCAAGTATGCCCAAGGTTGTATCGGATGATTTCATTGATGACCCGCTTGATTAAGATGGTTTTCTTTTACCTTCCTTATGAGTGTTTTTCTAATGACAATTGCATCAAGGAATTGCCGTGGTGCTGGCAGCAAGGCTTTCCCCAGTACTATTAAAGAAGTTGTTTCCTCTCATCATATCAATGTTCTCTGTCTCCTTGAACACAGGATTAGTGTTGATCGTGCTAATCGAGCAATTAGAAGTTTAGTTTTAATAGTTGGCTTAGAGTTGAGGCCATTGGCTTTGCTGAAAGAATTTGGATCTTTTAGAATGATGATATTACCAAGGTTAATTACATATGTTCCACAACCCAACTTCTTCACTGCAAATTTTGTGACCTGAATACTGGTGATTGTTTTCTCTCTTCTTTCATTTCTGCTAAAATATGTGCTGTGAAAAGGAAAATGCTTTGGGAATATATTAAAGTTATTGCTAATCTCACAGATGAAGCTTGACTTTTAATAGGTGACTTCAATACCTTCCTGGGATCCTTCTAACAAAATTGGAGGCTGCTTACCTTTAAATTAGGCCATAATTGATTTCTTTGATTGCATATCTGGCAACATTGTCATGGAAGTCCCTCTGGTTTGTGACAAATTCACCTGGGAAAAACAAGGTGTTAAAGAGCGACTTGACTAGTCTTTTTGCATTTCTCTCAAGGAAGAGTCACACCTTAACTCCAAGATTTACCATTATCTAAGGTACAATTCTAACCAGACTTCTTGTTGTTAACAATAGTCCTCCCTCCAACCTCACTGCTTGCGAGGAGATTGTTTCATTCTTCTATAATGCAGCTTGGTCTCTTGAAAGCACTTTCTCAATCATTGTGAAAGATGCATGGGACAAGAAGGAATGGCTTGATGGTGTTACTCACTTTAGTGAACCTGCTTCCAGTTGGAATCATAATGTGGTAGGCAACATTCCTAAAAATAGAAAAGCCCTCCTGCACCGCCTTGATGGCATTGACAAAAAAGCTCTGAACATGATCATGATGGCCTCTTCAAACTTCAAAAAAAAAAAAAACAAAAAATCTTTGGTCAAATTATCAAAAGCTATGTGCCGAAAAAGGAGATGATTTGGTTTAAAAAAATCTAGATGTAAATGGCTCCAATAAGGAGACCGAAACACCAATAGGAAGAAAAAGCACCATTAGTGCCCTTCAAAATGAGACGAAAGAGTGGGTTCATGATAGTGATACCCTTAAACATATGGTGAGCGACTTCTTCAGGAATATTTACCTTAAAGATCCTAATGTTCCTAGTTTTATCAACTGGCCCAATATGTTCCCTCCTATCCTTGAAAATGATCTTAGACACATACACAAATAAATCCCTAACATTGAGATAAAAAATGTGGTTTTTGACATGGATGCTTTCAAAGCTCCTAGCCCTGATGGCATTCAGGCCTACTTCTTCCAATCTCAATGGGCTTACAAGTTTGTGATGTGATCAAGAATGCCTTTCTTACCCTGATTCTATAAAATACCTCAATCACATCAACATTGCAGTCATACCTAAAGTTGATCACCTAGTGTCTTTGAAGTAGTTCTGCCCAATCTCTCTTTGCAATGTGAGTTTCAAAATCATCACTAAGATTCTTGCCAATAGACTTATAGGTGCTCTCAATCTTCTTGTTAAACTCAATCAATGTAGCTTTATTAAAAAAAGACAGAGTTGTGACAATATCATTATTGCTCAAGAGATCATCTACTCAATAAGAAATAAGAAGAGAATCAAAGGCTTTGTGGCTATCAAGGTAGATATGGAAAAGGTTTTCGATAGAATTGATTGGAGTCTCATAGAACAAACCCTTACTGATATTAGTCTTAATAGGGAATTTGTTAAGATCACTTTGTCTTGTATCTCCTCAGCTTCCATCCCTCCAGAGAAGATAGGCAAGGTGACCCCCTGAGGCCCTACGTGTCTGTTCTCTAGATGGAAAGATTAGGTCATTTAATCCAATGTGAAGTCAACAATAACAACTGGAAACCTTTCAAAGTTGGTGTTAGGGGCCCCAAAATCTCACACCTATCCTTTGTTAAAGCTTCCACTCGGCAAAATAGATGTCATTAAGGATACCATGACTAATTTTTGCTCAGGCTCTAGACATTGCATTGACATTGCTAAATATAAAGCTTTTTTCTTGAAAAATGTCAATCTCCATTATACCGAGGAGCCAAGTAATATGTTAGGCATTAGTATTACTACAGATCTTGGTAAATACCTCAATGTTCCTCTATTGCATGAAAGAGCAAATAACCGAACCTGTCATCCCATTCTCCAAAAAGTTCTTGGGAAACTCTCTACTTGAAAAAGTAAATATATGTCTCTTGCTGGTAGAGCTGTGTTAATTAATTCTGTTCTTACTGCCATTCCCAGCTACACTATGCAGTCCACTCTCCTTCCTAAAGGAATTATTAATGAAATTGAAAAAGTCAATAGAATTTCTACCAGAAGCAAGGTAAGGATTGTAGAAAAATGCATCTCATTGCTTGCGACACTTTTAAGCTTGATAATAAAGAGGGTGGTTTTAGTTTTAAAGACCTACATAAACAAGATAAAGCTTTCATGATGAAACTTTGCTGGGGTCTTTTAGCCAAACCTGATTCCCTTTGGGTGTAAGTTCTTAAGGCTAAATATAATTGTGGTACTGGTCTTTGCCCTTTTGTCATGAAAAAAAGAAACTCATCCCCTATCTGGAATGGCATATCTTCCATCTGGGAACATTTTTACATTGTTGTAGGAAGGAAAATTTGCAATGGTAAAAGCACTAAGTTCTGGTGGCATTATAGACCCCTCTTAATACTTCCCTTATCAATAATGCTGATAAAAATCACCATGTGCTTGATCTCACTGCCACTGTGGCTAATTTTGTCCTTAGCAATGGTGACTGGAATATTCATGAATGGCTTGAATTCCTTCCTTCCTCTTTAGGTCATTCAAAAAATTACAATAATTGAGACCCCCAGTGATAATCATGATGATCGTTTTACTTGGAGAAAATCCTCTAATGAGAATTTCAGTGTTAAATCTACGTATCTCTTTCTTCAAAATCTGAGGTCTCTTCCTACATATCCTTTCTAAAGGAAATTGTGCGAGTGGCCTATTCCTAAGAAAATTAAACACTTCTTTTGGCAAGTTTACTATGAGAGACTCCCTAAAAATATCTTGAGAGTTTTAAGAGGTCTTTCACTGTGTGCAGACTGCCCTTTTGAGTGTAACAATAAGGAAACTATTATACAAATTCTTTGAGATTGTGAGGTTGCTCAACAAGTGTGGTCTTCCGTTACTAACCCTTTATATCTGCAACATTTTTTCTCTTCTAATCTGCAACTTTGGCTAAGGATGAATTCACAAAAAAATCTGGGCTCTAACACAAACAATGCTCATTCCTGGATACGCGCTTTTTGTACCATCTGCTGGCTGCTTTGGAAAAACAGATGAATGGGCATTATGGAAGGACAAAGAGTCGAAGCAACGGAGACCCTCTACAACGCCCAATATCATCTTGCAGAGCGGTTGGAATTGTAGATTCAAGCACAAGATCTTCCAAAATGTTGACATGGTTGAAGAAATCTAGAAACCTCCTGACAGTGTTCTGCTGAGGCTGGACGTGGATGGCCTAGTCAATCAACATGGTTTTGCGACATGTGGAGGAGTTATTAGGGGCTCAAACAATAATTGGATATTGGGATTTCCAAAAAAAAAAAATGCTTGGGTTTTGCCCTCCCACTGCTGCTGAATTCTTTGCCATTGACTTAGGTCTAAAGCTGTGCAAACAACTTCGGATGGATAAAATACATTGCCACACTGACTCATTGGAAGCCTGGATCATCCCCTACACTATGAGATCCGTTGCGCCCAAGATCTAGTCTACTCCAACTGAGAATTGAGGATTATACACTCCCCGAGAAACAGTCTCCAAGTGGCTGACTACTTAGCCAAGAACTCTCATCATCTTACTGCTGATTTTAATATTTTGTATGAACCCTCTGTTGGGTGCTCGTCCATGTATTGGGCTGACAAACATCTCATTACTTTCTAATCTGTATTTTCTCAGGCCTTGAGCCTGTCTTTAAAAAAAAAAAAAAACCAAAAGAATATGTGGGATGAATAATTTAACAGGTGTCAACATGCTTAGAATGGAACGATGGAGTGAAGAAGGCTGTTTCCCATTCTTCTTTCGTCAGTGTTGCCTCTCAGTCCTTGTCTCTGTAGCCTATTTTAAAAAGTATTATTCATCTTCCTGGGAGAATGACAATCTCAGAGGACCCTACCAGTTCGAACCCGTGCCCAAATCTTTGGGCCAAAGCATAAAACCATGAGACACGAGTGAGCCAGAAGCAATTCCTCTTCATTTCCCATAAAGATGCAGGGAGCTGTAGGGACATTTCCTAAAACTTTACAAGATTAAAGTAACGTTTTACCTCTACCAAAAAGAGATTAAAATTTTGCCCCGCAAAAGTAATTTTTTTCTAAAGACAACAGAACTTTTTATTTTATGCACATCTTCAATATATTAAACATTCAAATAAAAGTAGTATTATTGATTCATATATATACTAGATTGAATAACTCAAAAAGAGCTTCTAAATCCAGAAGTATCAAGACTCGTTTGGTTTCTATTCTCAAAAAATTTAAAAACTTGTTTGGATAAGTATTTTAAATCTAATTGTTTTTAAAATTGTTCTTTTTTTTTTCAAAAAAAAATAAAAATATATTAAAGCCATTTAATTTTTTTTTTTTATTTTCAAAATACATTACCTTTAATTATTAAAAACTTTAATTATTTTGATCAATAATTATCAGAAGCTATCATTATTGATTGTCGGTGACCATCACTATTAACCAATTTTTTTTATTTTAAAACTTTTTTTGAATTAATACAATTAAATAGATTTTTTACTCTATTTTTAAAAAATTAAAAATTACATTACAAAACAATTTTTTAAGGGGGGAAAAAGAGAACAGAAACCAAACATGCTCTCAATCGTCTCCATTTCAGTTCTCAAATTCTTGGCAGGGAAAATTTTGTTCCTACTATTTAATCTTCAAGGAGAAGAAAATCATTCGTGCCACCCTTTTCAATGCGGAGGTAGATTCTCTCCCTTATAAAGGAGAGAAATAGAAAAATTAGTACATATCCAAACCGTTAAATTAAATTTAAAAATTTAAATTTAATAATTTTTAAAATATAAATTTAATTTAAACAGTTTAAATTTATAGTGAATAGATAATGAAAAGAAACCTGCCCCTTTCAATGCATTGATTCCCTGTAGATCTCAAAAATTATAAAAAAATCAGCCTCGATAATGCAACGAGAACTAAAGAAACTACTTCCTTATTTTTATATATAAAATATTTTTTAAAAATTTATTTTATTTTTAAATATAAGAGGTGGTAATAATATTTTTAAATAATTAAATAATTTTATCTTTATTTTAAAAAATAAAATATATCATTAATTGTATATTTTTTTATCAGTTTCATGATATAAATTATAATATTATTAAGAGTAAAATTAAAAAAAAATATTATATTTTTATATAAGTTTAATTAAGTAATAAATTTTTATTTATATGTAAAATTTTATATAAAAAAATGAGGGGAGTATTTGAAATGTATGAATCTGCGAGATTTAAGAAACTTTTATTTTTTTATATTTTTGTTGTTGTTGTTGGGGCCCCGACCAAAAGGACTCGAGAAACGTTGAAAGCCGAAGACTGATTCGGAGCAATAAAGTAAGTGGGGACCCCCACCCCTCATGTCACTCAAAAATGAACAGTTGATTACCTCCTGGTGTACAGTTGTGGTCTTGTCAAGAGGACAGAGAACAAACAATTATTATCTGCAAAGAAAGCATAAGGGAGACTGGAGAGCATCCCCCTCCCTCCATTGCTCACCGTGCCGGTCCACTATGACAAAGACATCACACCACCACAGAGAGAGACATCATCGCACTTGTGACCAATTGCAAGGGGCCACTTTCTCCATCCCTAATTCCCTTCTTCCCAAAATGCGCTTCTTTATTGGTACCTATCACAGTGGAAGAGCTCAGCAATGGCTCCTCGCGAGGAAATCACTGGACCACTTTCTCCATCCCCCGGGGAAGTGTTCTTCCTTCAAATCAGAACCCCATTTCATACTAATCCTAAATTATAAAATATTTTTAATAACATTATTATTATTATATATATATATAGATATAGATATATATATATATATATAAGATTAAAAGTTATTAGAGAATATTACATGTCTATTTTTAAATTTATTGCAATTTTATAATTCAAAATGTCTTTCTTATGATTTTGTACTCTAAAGATAAATTTACGGTTAGATTCGGGAGGATTTATTATTTTTTTATATATATAAAATATATTACTTAGGTTTAGAATTAGACGCAAGATGAATTATTAATTTTAATACATATATAAAAATTATTTTTTACCTATTTAAAATTTAAATATGATCATATTTAAATTTAAATTAATATCTATCTATTTAAAATTTTCAACCACCATAAAAATATGCCGAAACTCTATGTTCATATGATCGAGTGTGTATATATATTGGAATTTAAATTTAAATTAATATCTATTTATTTTTAATATTTTAAAAAAAGGAATCTGTGTGAGTATTTAAATCTATCATCATGAGTTTTAAATTTCAATTTGTTTAAATAAAAGGATTAATTTAAATTTAAAAATTCAAATTAAATAACAAAGATTAATTTAATTTTTAAATTTTAAGTTAGATTAGCTTAAATTTCCAAATATGGTGATTAGATTAGATTGTCAATTTAAATTCAAATTTCTCTCCAACACAATCTAAATTCTCATTAGCTTTCATTAATTCTAGTATCATTCATGAGACTATTATGCAAATAGTGTATGAAAAATATATTTCAATGGCCCTCGTGTATTTTCATCACTAATATTTACTTTGTCTTTTATTTATTTACAGCAAGTCTATCATAACATTTCATTCCATTGTGGCACTACCGTTGGTATGTAGGTTTCATGCTAATCAAGCCATCAACATGCCCAGTCAAGGGTAGTTAATCATAGTTTGAGTAATTCATCCCTAAAGAATGTTTAGTCTAAATTTATCAAACAGATTAAATATTTAGGATGTCAAGTAAGTTTTTGTGACTATGATATTATATGAAAATAATGTCAATTTCACTTGTACATATTATGAACTAGCTTGTGTTTGTGCTTCCTTTTTATAAGGCAATCAAATTGCCGTAGCTGTTTGAAAGCTCTTTATCAAATATTTTGATAATAAATAGCAATAGGTGAAGATATGAAGTTTTAAAGTTTGGTGTTTAAAGTGATAAATTAATGGCTCCAAATTTATGTATATATTAATATTAATCGTTGTCCCATACTCTAGTTTTTAAATGGTTATTTTGTTTAGACTTCTTAATTTGAATTTGAATTTTATTGATAATTCATATTTAAAATTTCGTCCAATACTAGTCTAGATATGTGCTTCCTTCTTGCAATTTTATATTTTAAGATACCTTTTTTATAATTTTGTATTTCAGGAGTCAATCTTGGATCTTGATTTGTGATTAAATTAATATTTTAATAATTTATACACATAAACTAAAGGAGTAGTTATAACATGTACATCTTCTAAATATAATATATTATTTTGTCTGCCTTTAACTAAATTTAAATATAAATTTATTTATTTGAAAATGTTGTTATGGACTCATACACGAATACTATGAAATGTCATGTTTTGAATCTTAAAGATATTATTTAAAATTTTAAACAAACACAACAACATCTCACATAATATATTTAAAAAAAACATTTTTCAAGAAAAAGTCTTAAACAAATGGGCCCTAAAATAATTAAAAACTTATGTTTTTAAATTTTGATTATTTTTAAAGTTTAAACAGACATTATAAAATTGGGCCAAATAAAAAACAAACATCATAAAAGCTTATAAAATAAATTTTTGTTCATAAAGTAAGTTAAAACAAACAGGCCATCTTTAAACAGAAATCTATTTTATAAACATTTTATTAAAAAAACATATATTATTTTATGTTTGGAAACAATAATAAAAATTTCATATTAGTTAGTTATTTTTAGACTATGTAATCAATTTATCTCATTTAATCATAGTGTTTACATAAAATTAAAAATAATATTAGCTTTGGTGACTTTTTCTCTGATTCTAAACTTCAAAATATCTTTCATATGATTCAGAAGTTAAGGATGGTTGTTGGTTCCTGGGTTGGTCCAAGATAATATTTTTAATTCTTAAATATATAAATTAAAAGAGTGTTTTTAAATGATGTATAACTTTTGATATTTAATTTTCTAATTTTGAAGAAAAGATCTAACTTATTAAAAATCCATTTGATTTTTTGAGTATATAACATAAATTAAAACTCAATTTGGATTTGAATCAAAATAATTAAATTTACTTGAAAATATATAAAAATTAATATCTTATTTGTAAATACATGATTAATTTAATTGAGATAAAAATCATATTAATATAATGATCACACTTGATATTGGTTTGCAAAAATTCTTATATTAAAATTAGTATGTTGTCGAATTAATGAACAATTGTACTTGAACTACGTTAAAATCTGCATTTGAATTTAAATATAATTTAGTTTTGGTATTGGTAACTCTTGACATATTAATCTAAATGAGATAAAAATTAAACACGTAAATAAATATATGATTGACAATTTTAATTCAAATGTAATGTTTAAATAATTTTCTTTATATTTACTGATAAAATAACAGTATTAATTAATTTAATAATTTTTAATTTTATAATTTTAGTTAATTACTCAGTATTTGGTGATGAAACTCAAATGCATAATCGGATAAGTTAAATGTGAAAAAAAAATCAACTAATTAACGGTGTAAAAAACTATCAGAGTTTCATATCTTCAAAAAATTAATTTTTCAAAATTAATCATACCTTCCATAAAGTGTTTAAAATTTTCAAAATACTATAATTTGAGTATGATAAGTTGATAATATCAATCATTATATTTAAAATAAAACGTGAACTATGTGTATACTTATGCTAATAAGGATGTAGAAGCCAAACATGAAGATGTCAAGATTGTAC